ATCCTGAGATCCCACATGGATGCACCAAAGTCCTCCCTGCATTCTCTGTCCCACCTGTTGGGGAGGAGTTCTGGTGGATCTGGGTTTCTGGGAGAGCTGCAGAGCTCAGCAAAGCTCAGTTTTTTTCAATGAAGAAAGAATTAAGCAAAGGCAGACCCAAGTTCTGCATCAACACCACAAAAGCAGCAGTTTGCTTTAATGGAAAGATTCCTATCTCAAGCAGTCAATATTTTACCTTGAAGGAAGGTGAGCTGTGCCTATCAAATTTGATAAATACAATAAGATATTGCAGCAGTGCTAATATCAAAGGGGCAAAGCTCAATTTTTCCAAATTTCACCAGACACTTCTGGAACATTCCAGGGCTCCCGAGCCCCCCAAGGGTGCTCTCGGTGACACCTCAGTCCTGAGGGGCTGAGATCCCACACCAACACAATCATAACAGGACCTCAAATATAATATTAAGTACTGCAAGAGAAAGGTTTTACTTTTAACATCACTGCTTCATCATGAGCACTTCTAAAATTCAGTTTTGCAGGGCTGGAAGAGAGCTCTTAAACTGCAGGGCAGAGTTGCCTTAAAATATGCTTGGAGTGTGCTAAAAAAACTATTTTTTCATTTCAAGTGCTTCTGAGTGTAATTAACCTGGGACACAAGGAAAACAATTCTATTACCCTTTCTAAAGTGTTTTTCTCCTGTGGATAAACCTCTCTAAAATTTCTTTCTTCTTGCTTCATTTTAAATAGGGCACTTGTTGGAACACCACAGGGATTTTTCTGATTAGTTCTCTATTTGTTTTCTTTTTACCTAGCAATATTTAACTAGAACATCTTTTTTTTTTTTTTGTTGGTTTTTTGGTAAATGTCTTTGTAAGTATTTTTTCTTCCAATAAAAAAACCCAGAGATTGGTATTAAATACAGAGGAAAGAGGAGTATTGTGTACCAGGAAAAGAGAGATGGGATTTGGTAAATAAATATCAGAAAATCTGAGGGTTTGCTAGTGATGAGAAAAAAGGGATATAACAGATAGATGGAATGATAAATTAATCTTCTCCAAACTGTCAGATTTGCTGTTAAGAAGTTCCTGCCAGGATTTGATGGACACAGCACTCACCCCTATAAAGGGAAAGAGGAAGCACAGCAAAACAAAATCAGTGGACTTCAGGTCACTTTTCAGGATGTTCAGGAGCCTGTCAGGAAAGGGCTTGGAGAGGGTAAGTTCAACTGGAAAAATTTGGAATTGCATCTTTAACAACAGATCTTGTGTTATCCTCACCTTCTCTAAGCTCTTCAAGCAGCCAGAGATGGCTCTGAACTGGCNCCCAAACCATTCCAGGATTCCACAATCTCCATTTCTCAAGTTTGCTTTCTCATTTTCACACCTCCTCAACAGAACAAAAGTCAAAAAGTCTGGAAAGATGGAGCAAAACTCCAGAGATTTTATCACAGAACACAGTGATTATCCACAAAAGAAAGAAATGTCCCTTTTCCACGGGGATCAGGAACAAAGAGCAGGCACTGAGCAGTCAAGGTCAAAGTCCCCCAGAGTCTCCTGTAAATAGAAAGGGAAACACCACATTTGCTTAACTGCAGTGAGGGAAATGGAGATGAAGCATTCAAAAACTCCTTTATAACAGTAAAGATAGTTAGTTAAGCACTGGAACAGATGGCCCAGGGAGGCTGAGGGGTTGCTATCACCCAAAGTTTTCAGAACAGGTTAGAAAACAGCTGTCTGCAATATTACAGGTACAAGTAATTCTGCCTGGAGGTCTGGATAACCTCCTCACATCCTTTCTAAACTAATTTTCTAAGATTCTGTGAAAAAAAAAAAAACTCTGACAAATTCAGGTAGCAGACTTGAAAGAGCAGAAATTTGGAATACACAAACTATTTGTTATTTTATTTCAGTACTTACTAGATGTGGTTCAAACCCTCCTGAGATTTACAGTCCCTCCCTAAACCAGCCCTGGTGAAGACAGTAAAAAAAACCACAAATAAAACCCTCATTATCCTCACTGAGTGATCCCTTCCACCAGTCACCTGTGTCTGAGGGGGAACGTGCCCCTCAGATTGCAACTGCTGAGCTGGACACCTCCACTCTGGCCTTGATCTCCTTGGTGAAACCACGGAGTTGCTGGATGGCAGTGGTGCAATGCTCCCTTTACTGCAGGAATGTGTGCCACAAACTGCTTCCTGTGCCTTTGGGAGGGTGGTGGTGTCTGTGCTCTCAGGGCCCAGCCTGACACTGATCTCTCCTGTACAAATAAATCGTGGATTGCAGTTTTTATCTACTTATTGTCAGTTGTTAATTTAATCATGTGGCAAACAGATCATCTGATCAAGTCATGATTCCCAGCACCCAACACTGGGCAGAGCTTCAGATTTGGGTGCTTAAAATTTGAAATGTGCAGATAGGAACCCAGGAGGAGGCCAGAATGAACAGGACCCCAACCCTCCCAGGGATGAAGAAATCTGATTCCTACCCAGCTGCAGGACACAGGATCTCCCTGTGCTTTGTGCCCTGCAGAATTTGGTGAGTGGGAGATAAAAGCTGGCAGTGCAGCTGGCAGTGCAGCTGGAGGTTGTTTGCAGTGCTCTGAACTCACCCAGAGCTGGTTTCTTGTGCTGCCTGGGGAGCTGAGGGCCAGGAGCTGCTCTGGGCACGGCAGGAGGGGCTGGCAGAGCCCTCAGGGCTGTTGGCAGCATCAGCCTCTGGCCACTGGGGCTCAGGGCACCTGCAGGGAGATGGAGCTCCTGAGCCATTCCAGCTGGCAGTGAAAAGCAGCTCTTGGCAATGAAGAAAGAATTGAGCAAAGGCAGACCCAAGTTCTGCATCAACACCACAAAAGCAGCAGTTTGCTTTAATTGAAAGATTCCTATCTCAAACAGTCAATATTTTACCTTGAAGGAAGGTGAGCTGTGCCTATCAGATTTGATAAATACAATAAGATATTGCAGCAGTGCTAACTCTGAAATATGTTTGTATATCTATAATTACATGTTTGCATATCTATTAATTGCATTGCTTGTACAATGCAATTTAATATGCAGAATAGATGAGAATCAACTCCTGCAAAGCTCAATATAATCATGCAATTCCCACTAAAAACTGATGGCTAAAACAGTGCAAGCCTAGTTAAGACTGGACAATTAATGACAATAGTTTGAGTGGCATTTAGACCAGAACCTCAATTCACAATTCAGGTGAACCCTGTGAGTTGCAGAGCTGCTCAGGGTGATGCTCACAGGACACACTCCACACCCTGCACCCTAAAGCTCACCCCACCCTTTGTAATGTCTGAAATCACAATTCTTGCAAGCCTGGAGGGGCAGGAAATTCCATTCCCAAACATTTGCAGCAGCCAGGGCCCTCTGGGACTCACCTTTTGGGGTGTCCTCTTCCAGCAGGGCCAGGGGAGAGCCCAGGGAGGGGAAGGCAGGCAAAGCCCAAGGGCTGGGGGCTGGGGGCTCCTTCCCTGTCCTCTGACTGCACACCTGGGAGAGACAGAACCTCCTGTGGCACAGGCAAACCTGGCATTTACACACTTACACATTCTCCTGCAGCAATAAATAATACACAGAATTTCTGCTGGGACTGTTTCATTAAGAATTAACAGTGCACCACTCCTTTTATTACTTGTGAACATGCTACAGTATTGCTTCAGTCATTGAAAATAAAGTTAATTAAATTTAATTGATGCCTTGTGTACTATTTAATGAAGGGATCTCAGGAAGTTTGTATTTACACTACTCTCCTTAAAACTGAGCAGTGTTTCTTGACAGAACAGTGTTAAAAAAGATAAAATGCATACAACAGAAGGAGAAAGAAACACTTTAAAATATTAGCTTTTAATGAGTGATTACCAAGCTTTTAGTGCAATCCAAGCCAGGACTGGGATCTTGGAGCACTGTTGTGTCCTAATTATTGAATAACAGCACCCAGCAACTTTCTAAAAAGAGAGAAGGAACTCTCAGGAGGGAAATGAGACAGATCCAAATTAACTATTCCAATCTCTCCTCCCAGTTTGTTTAACAGTGCTGCCCACAAGAGATGAGGGAGAGAAAATCTGCACTTTTTATCATCACAGAGAACCTTTCAGAGCAATCCCAGGCCCCATTTCAGTTATGGCCATTCTGGAACGTTCTGTTCTAAGGGATGAAGGTGGATGAATCCTCATGTCCTGGTGTTCCAAGAAAACAGCAATAACCATGGAACAAAGGTTAACTTGATGTCTGCTGCCATGGAAGTGATACTGAGAAAAGGAATAATTATAATCCACATTTTCCTGCTCACCCTCAACCCAGCAGTCTGGTGAGGCCACAACAAAAACATATAAAAGACAAGAAATTGAATTAAACAGTGATTCCTCTTCCAGGCTGTTGCTGGTGCAGCAGCAGGGCAGCACTGATTTCACTCCTGGTCAGTTTTATCCCAATTGAAATCCCAGTTATGAGGTTTTGTTATGATAAACAGCACATGAAATATATTTGTTTTCATTGTGTTCATAGAGATGGAATAAGCTGCAAGGAAAAGCAGTTCAGGTGCAGTGTGTGAGTTCAAAAGCAGCCTGGAGGCT